AAATTTAAATGTAATAGTAAATAAGTATTTATGTTCTTGATTTGTGAACTTGTTTTTAATTCTATTGATTAATAAATATTTATACTTACTTACTGAATAAAATGAATTTAAACATAATAGTAAATAAGTATTTATGTTCTTGATTTGTGAACTTGTTTTTAATTCTGTTGATTAATAAATATTTTTTATACTTACACACTGAATAAAATGAATTTAAACATAATAGTAAATAAGTATTTATATTATTGATTTGTGAACTTGTTTTTAATTCCATTAATTAATAAATATTCTTTATACTCACCTACTAAATTAATGCGAATAAAATAAATTTAAACATAATGGTAAATAAGTATTTATGTTTTTAATTTGTAAACTTGTTTTTAATTCTATTGATTAATAAATATTCTTTATACTCACAAACTGAATTAAATAATTAATGCGAATGAAATAAATTTAATGTAATAGTAAATAAGTATTTATGTTCTTGATTTGTAAACTTGTTTTTAATTCCATTGATTAATAAATGTTCTTTATACTCACTTACTAAATTAATCTGAATGAAATGAATTTAATTATAATGTAAATAAGTATTTATATTCTTTATTTGTGAGCTTGTTTTGCTGTTTTAACTCTATTAATTGATAAATGTTCTTATACTCACATGCTGAATAAAATGTTTAATGTGAATAAAATGAATTTAAATGTATTGGTAAATAATTATTTATGTTCTTGATTTTTGAACTTGTTTTTAATTCTATTGATTAATAAATATTCTTTATACTTCCATTCTAAGTAAGATGATTATTGCAAATGAAATAAATTTAAATGCAATAGTAATAAGTATTTATGTTCTTGATTTGTGAACTTGCTTTTAGTTCTATAAATTAATAATGTTCTTTATACTTATGAGTAGGGGTCTGCAAGTAGACATGCTGGGTATATTGGCACCAGGCCATACACTAGTACCTTATGCCATGCTCATGTCTAAAGCACAAAAATACCAGGTATTATTGTGAGCATAGATACAAATACTAGGTATTTTATGGGTATAAGCACAATATACCAGGCACTATTATAGCATGGCACAATATGCTAGGCAAAAAGGTACTAGGCACAAGTGCCGGGCAAAGTGCCAGGCAAAGTGCCAGGCACAATTAATTAATAAATATTAAATTTTTGTGCCTGTGCTCATGCCTATGCCAAATCTTTGTGCCAATACCCATACACATGCCAAATTTTTGTACCTATGCCTATACCTATGTCAAATTCTTATGTTTATGCCCATGCCTGAATCTTCATATCTATACCCATGCCTGTGCCTTTTGTTAAGCACAAGCACGAGCCCGGTTTGCAGACCCCTATAGATGACCTTCAATTCTCATATATTCTTTATAAAAGATACTCTTCCTACTCTAACTTCTGTTATATTTGTCAACAACCTATTAATACACTTCACTAGATATTCTGTCCTTTCCCTAGCCCAATACTAAAACTCCTTAATATATCTCTACAATATATTTTAACTTTTAGTAAACTTCAAATTTTATATATCCAAATACAATATTTTCTTAGCCAAATTAAAAATCTTGATAGTCTATAAATTTATACTTTATATTTAAACTATCATTGTTTTCTACAATTACTAGTCTTGTTTTAACTAATATTATAAACACTATAAAAAACTATATCTTCTCTAACAACTTGGCCTATTCTCTTACTATTTAATTTCTTCTTCATTTTAATTAACAAATTTATACAAATATCTGGATTCATTACTGCACTTTAAAATCATAATCTAATCTTGCTTCAAACAATCATAGCAATATTACTCTTGTCAATTCTACTATACTCATTTTAAGCTCAACACCTTTTTTTAAAAATTCTTTTAATTTATCTACATTTAATATATATAACAAATTAAAAATTTGATACTCTAACTGAATTAAATTCTTTTTACACCCTTCTCTTATTTTTACTTACTTTTAATCTAGATAAGCCTTGGCTACTCTGGTAGATTTAGGCCACAGATAAGTATTTAGTTTACTTAAATATGTAAGTTTTTATTATCATGGTGAAGCATAGTGTTAATTAAACATGGTGAAGGCCCTTAATAATGTTACACAATCCTCTCCAAAATACCAGACGGGTAACCACGTACTTGCACGTGGGTGTCTGTCATGGTCATTTTGGCTGCTTAGAAAAGCCAGAACGGGTCCTCGGATAAACCACATCCGGATAAACCTTTCGGATCTACACCTCCCATCCACCCTTTGGTGAGCGACTTTTTGAACGTATCACACCCCATTTTCTGAATCTATCCGATAGTAAAAAGTCATGGAAAAATAGTTTATCCACCCGGATAAACTCAGATTTAATTAGTGAGCAACTTTTTGACAGAGCGCGATGAATATTTTTAAAAAATCATAGTAGATGTGATACGAATTTAATTTGAAAGCAATTTTTTAAACACTAATTAACAATTATTGAGCGATTTTTGAAAGGGTGTAACGAATAAGCATCGGGTGTTATCGTATAATATGTTGTTTTATATTTGAAGTTAGGTTAACACATTTCAGACAAAAACTCATCAAGATATCGAATTTTTTTGTCGACTCTTGTGTAAAACTGTCATTTTGAAGAATGCCCAATGTATAGCGATCCTTTATGGAAAACCCCACTATGTCACTCTCAAGACATGTAATAACAAAACTTTTAGCATGAAGGTTCAGCTACTTGAATCTCAATTTTTAGGTGAAACAGATGCGAACTCGCGGAGATATCACATTATAAGTAAGGCTAAGCGAATCTAAAACTATTTTTTTACAGATATAAATAATATTAACTTGAGCTAAATTAATTTTATTTACTATATAGGTAAGAATTTATTCGCAAAGATATTCACGTTTTTGTCTTTGTTTCGCTCATACGTTTTCGTAAAATTGCCATTTCAACTTCAATCGATCAGATGACCGTTTTCTCTAAATGAAACACACTTTATCTCTAATAAAAGTTATTCGGACGGTTTTCAAGAGCTAGGATCTCAATTTTCAGCTTAATTGCGTGTATATTCGTCAAATCATCGATGTTTTTTTAATAAGAACTAATGACAAATTTTTTTATTTTTGTTTGTAGGAACGTATCAATCAATTTGATAACAACAGTAAAATGAAACATGTTGTACGATTCTAACAAAGGTTTTAGAAATGGCATTCAAGAGTTCGCCTGTGAGATTTCAGATCAAACGGATAAAAACTCATGGAGATATTGTATTTTTACGTTTTAGTTCAGTTAGATGTTTCTACGTTTTTGATAAAAGTGATGAAAAAATCACGGTACCATTGTGAGATTTTTACAAGTTCAGTCTAAAGATGCAACTGCGTGTTAACAAGACTTATGGCTAACATACTCAAATTATGCCTGATGAAATTTGAAGAATTTTGAACAAAGATTCATAAAGTTATTACATTTTTCATTCTTATTATCTATATTCATTAATCTAATATAATTAAAATTGCCGTTTCAACTTCAATCGATCAGATGACTGTTTTCTCTAAATGAAACACACTTTACGGTTATTTTGAGATAAGGCTCAATTTTCTGATTAAAATAAATCACCGAACGAGCAAAATTATATACTATATTTCTAACAAAAGCTGAATTCAGCTTTTGTTATAATAAAGCATTTAGGCCTGATTAAACTTTGATCAGGCTCAAATGCTTTTTTTTTCTTAACTTTACTATAACAAAAGCTGAATTCAGCTCTTGTTAAAAGTAACTTTTAGCGTGAAGATTCACTACTTGAATCTTGTAAATGTTGCAAATTTGTTGATTTCACATCTGGGAAAAAAGTGAATTGAATTTTTTATTTTTATTTATTAAATTTAAACTCAATAATTGATTTATCATTGAAATACAGGTTATACTTAAAAATATCACAATTAGAAAATACAAAACTTGGAACACCGTTATTATACTCACAATGAAACAACTCTTTTATTTCGCATTACTCTCAAAACTATAGTTTTTTAAATCATTAATAAACTTAAAATTATTTAAATTACTGTGTAATCATAATTACTAAGCTATACTTATTAATTAAATATTCGCATTCTCCTTATTGAGATGATGGCTTTCTTCATTTTGCTTTTTTATAATTTCTTGGCGTGTTAAAAATGATCGACTTTGACTACTAGCATACTCATCGGTCATTTCTATGGGACACTTTAAGAAGAGTTAACTCAGTGATTATCACAAATTATCACCCTCGATATAATCACATATCAATTTTTATTGGTCAAAAATATCAGGTGATACCAATTACATATACTGTGTTACTATAATAATAAGCGATAATCTAAAAGTCGTATAAAACTGAAATAGTGCGTTAGTAATTAATACTAAAAAATAGTTTTTCTGCTGCTTACATAAGGTATTCTTTCGTTAATAAATCTATTGGTGGTTTTAGATAGCTCTTTTAATATGATTAACTAATAACTGAAGTGGTGTATAAATCTTTGCGATTAGTTAAAAAAACAACTTGTTAAAATATTATCAAGCGAAAGGTAGATTCTAAAATAGTCTGCATCTTGAGAATTTATTTATTGAAATGATAAATCGGTTAGCTTATTCAATTTTCGACTATTTATTGCAGGAAGTCCTTGAAAATATCCTTTTTCTTTTTTTTTTTTTTTGAAATTTGAGTGCCGTAAAGAGAAACCTATAATTTTTCATTTAACAAGAATTACAGGTTTTCTCTTTGCATCACTCATTTATTATATTTTTTTTTGTTTGTTTTAGAAATCACTAATTGTAGCTTTTTTATTATTAAGTGTATAGTTTTCTTCATAAAGCCAATTCTCAGCCTTTCAGCTACTGCTGCACTTCGTTCTTGAAGAATTATTTAATATTGCATGATCACAATTGTTGAAAATCATGTATTGTGAATAGGTTTGTGGTTTCTAAAATATGTTTTATATATAATGATTTTAAAGTTTATAAGAGCTTTATAACGATATTGTCATTAAGCATCCAAGTATAGTTTTTAATTATAAGGACTTTACGAATCATTCTAAGCAAAGCTCTGGTCTTCTTTCCAAAACCTAATAATTTGCAAATGGGTGAATAGAAAATTTGAGATTAGGTTATTTGATAGAAAATTACTCGAACCTCAACTTGGATTCTAATTCTCCTCAATGGTTTGATGAAAATTTTTATCCGTAAACCTACTCTCAAAAATAGCCTATCTATATCTGGTACTTTTAAATTTCTAGCAGGTATAATATTAAAAAGTTATATCTATTATTACAGTTTTACAAGGAAATTAGAGTACTATAAAATCTGGACGCGTGTATCCCATGTGGTGTACTCTTGCTATTTTGATATATAAGTCTTATATACGTTATATGTATTATCACAGATAAATATAGTAAAATATATTGTCTCTATATGGCGTACCTATATAGAGGTATCCCAGGTACTAAATTGGTAATGAGAATACTCAGGGTATACGCATCCAAATTTTATGGTATTCAATTTAGAAGTATTTTGGTTTGTATAAAAATTTATTATATTTTATCAAGGGTCTATAGCAATACAATACAAAATTTTATTGAAAGGTAATTTTATTTTTTATAACTAGTTATTTTATATATAATTTAAAAATACTAATAAAATTTATTATTTACTCCACACGTAGGACTTTTGGACCACTATAGCAATAGAAGCTTGATACTGTATTATGGAACGATCTAAAAATTATAAGGCATTAATTAAAATTTTATTTTTATTTTTATTTTAATTAAGAAACACTAATTACCTCTTCTAAATTTTTACCATATAATACAATATACTCTACGAGCTTATTAAATGCATCACAGTTATCTTTGATAAAATGTTATCTCTATATATATTCCAAGAAATAAGTATCATATAATTCTTTAACAGTTCCGTACCATGGAAGAGAAGCCTTTACTGAATGCCAATTTGATTCGATTGTATTAGTATAGACCCCTTTTCAGGATCCTTAAAATACTTCGAATGATTAACCTTATCATGCTTCCATCCATATTTTTCAAAATCCTTGGTTTGGTAAGCTGCCCAGCAGTCACTATATATTGTTGTTCCTTTTTCCACATACTCTTCCAAAATTTTTAATAACATTTCTTTTGATCGATCTGGTACTGATACTAAAAACATCTTATCTGATCCCCTTTCGACTCCACCAAAGACCCATTGCTCTTCTACTTTCTTATCTTTATTATACTTACATTTTCTAAATTTACTTTCATCAATTTCGACAATTTTTTCTTCACCTCCGATTTTTTATTTTGGTTTATTAATGCTATGCAGCAGATGTCATAACAAAAATTGTACCAATCGACCATCGATACAGTACTAACATCAGCTTCTAATGCAGCAAATTGTTGGGGCAGTTTATGAGACCAACAAAACATAATTTTGGCAATTTGTGCAAGGGATAGCTTAGATTTTGTCAACCATGTTCTTGTTCTTAAAGTTGTAGCATGACCACAAGCTGTTCTTGAAGTACAGGCTCATTTACAATTATCACCACGGGATTTATCTTTTGTCTTGCACATTGAACTTTGACATTTAGAACAGGTACGTGTTTTAGGAAGAATTTCAAGTTCTTCAAAAAATTTAACAGCATTTTCTATTTCTTGGGTGTTAAAATAAATATCATCATAAGTTTTTATTAAAATAGGTGATTCGAGCGATTGCTAAACTGGAGGCAAAAGAATTTTTTCGATGTTTTTTGCCATTATTTTATGATAATTTGGCAAGTTATTTAAATAAGCAGAGATGTTATTAGTAGAAAATTCAAGAAAATTAGATCAGAACTTGTCAAGAAGCATAAGCAATTTTGTTATTTTTAATGTTAAATTTTTTTTATTATATTTAAATCTTACAAATTGCTCTTTTTATAAGAAATAGATTGAGCTACAAATATACAATGGGTTTTGAAGATATATTAATGAGGGTCAGAAATATAAATTATATAATTTAGTATGAATAAATAAAATCACACTAAATCACATAATTTTATACCATTATATCAGTATATTAAAGTTCGAATAAATTAATTTTTAATTATGTGTTAAAGTGCGAAACAAATTAATTTTTAATAGTGTGTTAAGCATGAAATAAATTTTAGTAGAATGTTAAAGTGCGAAATAAATATATTTTTAGTTGTTAAAGTATAAAAAATGATATAGCATATTTTACAAATACTACAACCATTCTTATCATATAAATTCCATTTTCTGGTTTGAGTTATTAATATAAATATTGTATCGCGAAATTAGTATCTTATAGCTTATTTTCCCGGGAGCATAATTGAAACTTAGGGAAAAATATAAATAAATAAATAAATAAATAAATAAAGATGTACATTAATTATGATAATACGATCGTTGCTAGCATATTTTACAAATACTGCATGCATTCTTATCGCATAAATTCCATTTCTTGGTTTGAGTTAGTAATATAAATATTGTGTCGCGAAACTAGTATCTTATAGTTTATTTTTCTGAGAGCATAGTTGTAACTTAGGGGTAAAATATAAATAAATAAATAAAGATGTATATTAATTATGATAATACGATCGTTGCAGCATATTTTATAAATATCACACGCATTCTTATCATATAAATTCCATTTCCTGAGTTATTAATATAAATATTGTGTCGCAAAACTAGTATCTTATAGTTTATTTTTCCAGGAGCATAATTGTAACTTAGGGTAAAATATAAATAAATAAATAAAGATGTACATTAATTATGATTATATGATCGTTGCGCTAGCATAAATAACAAGAGATGTAGTTATAGAAGTTATAAGATAATGATAATATTTCTAACAGTTTTTTTTTATTACTGCTTGTCCTCATAATAATACTATTTAAAAGAGTTTAGTTAGCAAGAATACAAGCAACAATACTAAAGATACAAAAAAATAAAAATAAAAAGAATGAGTTACTAGTTATACTTGCAAATCATGCCCAAGTTAGTCATTCTAAAATCTTACTCAAGTATGTATTTAATTGAAAAAAAAAGTGGTCTTTGTCTTTCCAACATTTCCAGTCTAATTTGGACAAAAACAAACCACAGCGTCAGTTTGTGTTTATTTGTAAATCACCTTTTACCTTTATTGAACTATTGAATCAAAGGTAATTTACTACTATATAAACAAGAACCAATGCTGGGGTTTGCTTTTGTCTGAATTATGTCGGAAAGTGATTTTAAAGTCATGTGATCATCTGACATTTGTTTACATTTTTGGCCAATCAAAATTGCTATGTGATTATATCGAGGGTGATAATTTGTAATAATCACTGAGTTAACTCTTCTTAAATCTTCCTGCGCCAAAATTTGCCAATATTTTCAGATTTCTGTGTGATGGGCGATCATTTGATGAACACAGTAATTTGAAAAGCACTGTAAATAAAAATTGTACCTGGGCCAATTTTACCATAATGCAGGCTTATTTTATAAAAATTTCTATTTTTGTAATGAAAAGTCAAAAGGTTAATTCTGGCCAGAAATTAGTAAACAATTATGTAATGCGGGCCAGAATTTGAAGATCCTCAGCCGTTAGCCAATCAAAATCGAGATATGCCATGACAATTTTGTTGCGGCAGCTATAGGGGTTTTAATCGGTCCTAATCAGTCCTGAGATGATTTGACAAATTGCTAATCCCAGAAATGTGTAATCACTTATCTCCAATAAGTAACCTACCTTAAAACATCTCTGGGAAGAACTTTTATTAACAACATTTGTTAAAAAAATCATCTTAAAAATTAGAAATTTGCTTGGGAACGATGCCAACTAAATCAGCCCTAAGACAGATTTGGTTGGCATCGGTTCCAAGAAAATTTCTATCTTTTAAGATAATTTTTTTAACATACATTGTTAATAAAAGTTCTTCCCAGAGATGTTTTAAGGTAGGTTACTTATTAGATATAAGCAATTACACATTTCTGGGATTAGAAATTTGTCAAATTATCTTAGAACTAATTAGAACCAATTAACACCTCTAGGCAGCTATGATTAATAGTGCGATTTCCTGCTGCGTAGCAGTCTAGAGAGTTATTTGTATAACAAGGGCAGCTGTGCAGCATGTGACGTCATGCAGAATTAGTTTGATCGTATACAACAAGTTTAAACAGCCTATTTAAACCTCCAATAATAAAATTTTTATTTATTAGTCGTCAATAGATCTAATTTTTACCAGTCTTACTAGCTTAAAAATCTCTTGAATTAAATTTGCAAAATAAAAAAAAAATTAAAAATTGGTTTGAATACTTCAATTATTATATTGCTAGCAGCCATCATCTTACTAAATGACACATCCTTAGCAGTTAGTAATCTAATATTTTTTTTAAATAAACTATATAAACAAAAATATAAACAAAAGTTTTAATAAGTTATATAAAAAATATTTTAAGCAAAAGTTTAGTAAGTAATATAAAAAAAATAATTTAAGCAAAGGTTTAGTAGGTTATAGATTCAGCAAAAATTTTTTTATTATACAGATCAACAAAATATAGAGTAATAATAAAACTTTTTGTTCAAATTACTTATTAAACCTTTGCTCAAATTACTTATTAAACCTTTGTTCAAATTATTTTTTTATATAACTGGTAATTTTAAATTTTTAGCAGATATAATATTAAAAAGTTATATCTATTATTACAGTTTTACAAGGAAATTAGAATACTATAAAATCTGGACGTGTGTATCTCATGTGGTGTACTCTTGCTATTTTGATACATAAGTCTTATATATGCTATATGTATTATCACATGTAAATATAGTAAAATATAGTCTCTATATGGCATACCTATATAGAGGTATCCCAGGTGCTAAATTGGTAATGAGAATACTCAGAGTATACGCATCCAAATTTTATGATATTCAATTTAGAAATATTTTGGTTCATATAAAAATTTATTATATTTTATCAAGGGTCTATAGCAATACAATACAAAATTTTATTGAAAAGTAATTTTATTTTTTATAACTAGTTATTTTATATATAATTTAAAAATACTAATAAAGTTTATTATTTACTCTGCACGTAGGACTTTTGGACCACTACGGCAATAGAAGCTTGATACTGTATTATGGAACGATCTAAAAATTATAAGGCATTAATTAAAATTTTATTTTTGTTTTTATTTTAATTAAGAAACACTAATTACCTCTTCTAAATTTTTACCATATAATACAATATGCTCTATAAGCTTATTAAATGCATCATAGTTATCTTTGATAAAATGATGTCTCCACATATATTCCAAGAAATAAGTATCATATAATTCTTTAACAGTTCCGTACCGTGGAAGAGAAGCCTTTACTGAATGCCAATTTGATTCGATTGTATTAGTATAGACCTCTGTTTCAGGATCCTTAAAATACTTCAAATGATTAACCTTATCATGCTTCCATCCATATTTTTCAAAAACCTCAGTTTGGTAAGCTGCCCAGCAATCACTATATATCATTGTTTCTTTTTCCACATACTCTTCCAAAATTTTTAATAACGTTTCTTTTGATCGATCTGGTACTGATACTAAAAACATCTTATCTGATTCCCTTTCGACTCCACCAAAGACTCATTGCCCTTTCACTTTCTTACCTTTATTATACTTATGTTTTCCAAATTTACTTTCATCAATTTTGACAATTTTTTCTTTACCTTCAATTTTTTTATTTTGGTTCATTAATGCTATGCAGCAGATGTCATGACAAAAATTGTACCAATTGACTATCAATACAGTACTAACATCAGCTTCTAATGCAGCAAATTGTTGGGGCAGTTTATGAGACCAACAAAACATAATTTTGGCAATTTGTGCAAGGGATAGCTTAGATTTTGTCAACCATGTTCTTGTTCTTAAAGTTGTAGCATGACCACAAGCTGTTCTTGAAGTACAGGCTCATTTACAATTATCACCACGGGATTTATCTTTTGTCTTGCACATTGAACTTTGACATTTAGAACAGGTACGTGTTTTAGGAAGAATTTCAAGTTCTTCAAAAAATTTAACAGCATTTTCTATTTCTTGGGTGTTAAAATAAATATCATCATAAGTTTTTATTAAAATAGGTGATTCGAGCGATTGCTAAACTGGAGGCAAAAGAATTTTTTCGATGTTTTTTGCCATTATTTTATGATAATTTGGCAAGTTATTTAAATAAGCAGAGATGTTATTAGTAGAAAATTCAAGAAAATTAGATCAGAACTTGTCAAGAAGCATAAGCAATTTTGTTATTTTTAATGTTAAATTTTTTTTATTATATTTAAATCTTACAAATTGCTCTTTTTATAAGAAATAGATTGAGCTACAAATATACAATGGGTTTTGAAGATATATTAATGAGGGTCAGAAATATAAATTATATAATTTAGTATGAATAAATAAAATCACACTAAATCACATAATTTTATACCATTATATCAGTATATTAAAGTTCGAATAAATTAATTTTTAATTATGTGTTAAAGTGCGAAACAAATTAATTTTTAATAGTGTGTTAAGCATGAAATAAATTTTAGTAGAATGTTAAAGTGCGAAATAAATATATTTTTAGTTGTTAAAGTATAAAAAATGATATAGCATATTTTACAAATACTACAACCATTCTTATCATATAAATTCCATTTTCTGGTTTGAGTTATTAATATAAATATTGTATTACGAAATTAGTATCTTATAGCTTATTTTCCTGGGAGCATAATTGAAACTTAGGGGAAAATATAAATAAATAAATAAATAAATAAAGATGTACGTTAATTATTATAATACGATCGTTGCTAGCATATTTTACAAATACCACACGCATTCTTATCGCATAAATTCCATTTCTTGGTTTGAGTTAGTAATATAAATATTGCATCACGAAACTAGTATTTTATAGCTTATTTTTCCAGGAGCATGATTGTAACTTAGGGGTAAAATATAAATAAATAAATAAAGATGTACGTTAATTATGATAATACGATCGTTGCTAGCATATTTTATAAATACCACACGCATTCTTATCATATAAATTCCATTTCCTAAGTTATTAATATAAATATTGCATCGCGAAACTAGTATCTTATAGCTTATTTTCCCAGGAGCATAATTGTAACTTAGGGTAAAATATAAATAAATAAATAAATAAAGATGTACATTAATTATGATAATACGATCGTTGCGCTAGCATAAATAACAAGAGATGTAGTTATAGAAGTTATAAGATAACGATAATATTTCTAATAGTTTTTTTTTATTACTGCTTGTCCCTATGATAATACTATTTAAAAGAGTTTAGTTAGCAAGTATACAAGCAACAATACTAAAGATACAAAAAAATAAAAATAAAAAGAATGAGTTACTAGTCATACTTGCAAATCATGCCCAAGTTAGTCATTCTAAAATCTTACTCAAGTACGTATTTAATTGAAAAAAAAAGTAGTCTTTGTCTTGAAAATCACTTTCCGATATTTCCAGTTTAATTTGAACAAAAACAAACCACAGCATCAGTTTGTGTTTATTTGTAAATCACCTTTACCTTTATTAAACTATTGAATCAATAAAAGTAAAAGGTAATTTACTACTATATAAACAAGAACTGATGCTGGGGTTTTCTTTTGTCCGAATTATGTCGGAAAGTGATTTTAAAGGCATGTGATCATCTGACATTTGTTTACATTTTTGGCCAATCAAAATTGCCATGTGATTATATCGAGGGTGATAATTTGTGATAATCTCTGAGTTAACTCTTCTTAAATCTTCCCATTTCTATAACCTCTACAGGTTTTTGAACAAAATAATTATCATCAAGCATCATACGAGAATTTGGTATATTTACATCATCATGATCTGAATCATTTAGAAATTTTTTGATTCGACGCTTCAATCACTTGTTAGGTTTTCTTTTTGCTGCAGTAGTGCTAGATTCGGCCATTGACTGTTGATGGCTATAGTCGAAATCATCATCAAAATACGTTTCAGATTCAGATTCAGATATATGTTCTTAAGATCTTTTTCCTAGTGTGGTCGAAGATAAAACTAATTGTGATTGTTGTAAAAGTTTCTGCTTATAGTTAGAAAGTTTATGGCATTTGGGATAATCGCGTAGATAGTTTTTCTTGAATTCGGGAAAGTGGCGACACCAGTACACCTGATCTGACTTAATAATTACTTCACCATCTTGATTTTTATTAAGCTCTTAAATAATGGTTCTCAACTCTTCACATATATACTCGCTCTCATCATATTTAATGTCCCAAAGCATGTTGCAGAAATCTTCCTCTGAGCCTTTGTGAAATATGAGCTCAGTAGTGTGCTGATCTAGCTCGTCATGCCACATATCTCTAAACTCGATAATATAATCCAAGCATTGGTAGAATTGTTCCCAATCACATTGAGTTGATGTCTCATCGTTTATATTAACTCAACGAAAATTGAATGCTTCTTCTGGTGATTTGTGAGAAGTCATAAAAACATACTTGGCAAGGAAAGGCACAAATGTTTTGCCTTTTTGCTTAACATTCTCTGGAGTATCGTTTAAATATTTAACAACATCATTCCAATCAAGCACCAAATACCACTCATCAAAAAGAACAATTTTATATTTATCGTAGCCATCCCACCAACTTGACTCTGATTTCTGCTTCTTAGGTTTTGAGTATAACTCGTTGAAAAATAACTTTTGAACAAGGTTAGATTTACCTGCACTACCATCGCCATAAAAGTAAAAAGTTACTGGCTGCCAGAAACGTCTTATAGATTTATTTAAAATTTCTTTTTGGCGGTTATTAATATAATCTAAATCCTGGAATGATCGATAAAAATGCTGCGGCACCAACTTTACCGGATCTGCTAATATATCTTCTGTTGTAAGATTTTCTCAAATGATATTTTCAATCCATTGATCATCTTCTTTCTTAATATCTAGAAATTTAGCCGGTGCAGATAAAAAGCGATAGGTTCTGAACTCCCAAGGTCCGATTTCTTGCCCATTAATAACCCAGCACGCACAAGTACATTTTTCAATACACTCAACCGTGAAAAGGTTACAAATCTTGCTTCGATTCATAAAATCACAATGACAATCTTTAGCATGAAAAGGATCCTTACAATGATTCCATGGCTTCATACTATATACCTGATTATGATCAGAATTACCCAATAATTTTTTTGGAAAACTCATCGAATTATGACTAAACATATCCTTGGCTAATTTAACCATTTGTTGTTCTTTAAATTGAAAAAAGCATTGTTCGTGAAACTGCTCTTTATCAGTTGACTCCGGCTGACCAGTTGAATATGTGATACCCTTTGCTTGCAATCGCACATATTCTTCTTGAGTTCGTGGAAGAACACGTTTGTACTCAATACCATATTCGTGGCATGAAGAACAAACAAGATCATTACACTGATGTAATTTACAACAATTTTCGCAATTATTATCCCTACAACGCCAGTGATTATTTTGGCATTTAGCACATAAAGGAACCTTACCAGTTTTAGAAAACTGCTCTTCACAAATCTGTTTATCCTTCTTAGTAAAATTTTTCTTACATTTAAATCTATTTACACATAGAATATAGTAGAATACTGTGGCCATGATTTGGCGAAATCTATGGTCTTTCCCCATTTATTTTTCACTCAAGAGAAATTACAGACTTTATATAGTTTTTATTACTAATCTTTTTTTTTTATCAACATGTATACACGTCACTTATAAAGTTGTAATCTAATTACTTACTAACTTAAAATAGTAAAAATTCAATTACTATAATTGGAATTGTACATTTTTCAAATACAAATATTCACCAATCAAAATTATTAAAAAAAATAAAGATTATGATTATTATATTTTAACAAAAATAACAATTTGTTAACGTCCAAAATCATCTTGCTTTTCTAATTACTAAATAGAACGAGCAAAATTATATACTATATTTCTAACAAAAGCTGAATTCAGCTTTTGTTATAATAAAGCATTTAGACCTAATTAAACTTTGATCAGGCTCAAACGCTTTTTTTTTCCTAACTTTACTATAACAAAAGCTGAATTTAGCTCTTGTTAAAAGTTTAATATAGAGTGTACATTATTTTGGGATGCTCATGGGCATCATTTTGAAATTATATATACTATTTTTAAGGGTCCAATTTTCAAAACAACGCCTTATAATAGAACTTAATTTGAAATATTTCTTCAATTTTCAGCTTAATTGTGTGTATATTCGTCAAATCATCGATGGTTTTGTAATGAGAACTAATAACAAATTTTTTTATTTTTGTTTGTAGGAACATATCAATCAATTTAATAACAACAGTAAAATGAAACATGTTGTACAATTCTAAAAAGGTTTTAGGAATGACATTTGAGAGTTCGCCTGTGAGATTTCAGATCAAACGGATGAAAACTCGTGGAGATATTGTATTTTTACGTTTTAGTTTGGTTAGACATTTCTACGTTTTTGATGAAAGTGACGAAAAAATCACAGTACCATTGTAAGATTTTTACAAGTTCAGTCTAAAGATGCAACTGCGTATTAACAAGACTTATGGCTAACATACTCAAATTATGCCTGACTTGATTTAGAAGATATTTTGCAACGGGCACATAACAAAATATTTGCAAGTTAAAATATCAAGAAGTAAAAAGTTTTTAATCAATCGTTCTTACAAACCTCTTATCAAACAGTATAAATTCATTATTGAAAAAGACAACATTATAGATAAAAAGAGCAAAAAATTGCTGTTAGAATTACTGTATCCAGGAACAAATGTTGAAAACATTAAGTTTAAAAATGGTTGTAAATTTGATCTTTGCGATCTTAACATTAAAATAATAAACAAATAAACACATTTTTTTTATTACACTTAATATAATTTTTTATTAAATATTAAATATTGGTTGAAGAAGGGTTAAGTTTGTGAGATGTAAAGAAAATAAGGTTCAATGTTAGATATTTTGCAAACTTTAGTTTGCAAAATATATCACATCACCGAGGCGTTCGTCACATAATAGCAAAGTTACTGAAGAGTTTTTGCCATGCTTTTCTTGAAAAGCGCGTCCAGCAAAGCGACCCGGTAATTTCAAGGATAATATTAAATTATCAAGGGAGTGGTTGATTTTGTCGTCGTTTGTCACAACGATTTGGGACGAGACTGGGATCGAGCCGAATCGACGATGTCATCATCGATGACATCATAGACTTGAGCATCCTATATCAAAGTACGAACAGAGGCAAAATTACTTCAAATTCTTGTTTGTTTTCATTACAATTCCAAATTCACTTTCTAATCTCTGCATAATTTTTACAAGGTGAGGGGCTTCAATCCATGTGGAAAATGAAGATGCTTTATTATAACAAAAGCTGAATTCAGCTTTTGTTAGAAATATAGTATATAATTTTGCTCGTTCGGTGATTTAT